AATACAATTTTTTTCATAAGTTATTCCACCGGACATTCTTAAATGTTTAGGAATAAGAATTCAATTTCTACCAAAATTAACTAAATACACTGAAAATAAACCAAGCAAGATCTTAATTATAAATTATCGAAAAACTATTCCATTAGTTGGCACTTTTTATGTTTCTTTCTAAAGAAAATGAAAAAAAAAAAAAAAAAACTCTTAGCCAGAAATAGCTTTGAACAAAAAAATTTCTCATCAATTTTTTTAAGAAAAAATTAGTATTTTGTATTACTAAATATTAACTCAAGCTTGATATTTTAATTTCTTAATATTTAAATTTATTGTCACACCAAAAAATATAACCTTTTTTGTCATACCAAAGCAAGAACTTCATCATTATTGGTAATTCATAGTTTGTTTGGACTTTCCATTATACACACACACATATATATGTATAAGTAATTGCACTAAAGATTAGTAGACCTTTTTAAAGACAAACCCATGATCAATATATTAACATCTTGAATGGTATTGCTCGATATAAAATTCTTGTAATTTTTGTTACAAATATTACGAGTTAATAATACTACAAAAAAAAATTAACTTAGAATATTTAAGTTAAATTGTGTTTGGTGTTGGCTAAGTTAAAATTTGATTCTCTTGAATTGAGATTAAAAAAAAATTTATGAATTTCTATACATAAAAAGACTTATTCTTTATACATAAAAATTAATTTTAAAATGATTTAACTGGTAAAGAATATTACTGAGATTTTTTTAAAAAAAAGACATAAGTCAAAGTTAATTACTCTTGTTAATAAATGACCAAAAAATTTGATATTTCATGACTAATATTTACATGGAATTTATAATTATATTGGATTTTTATAGAAAATAAAAATCTTTTCTTAATTTAGAATGAAAATGAAATTAAATTTTATTTTTGTTTCCAACTTATTTTATTGATATCATCTTCTTATTTTTAATTCATGAAATTAAAATCTCAAGTCAAGCATGGGCCTCAATCTATCAGAGCATTGTCAGATAAACACACAATCTTCGCAACAAGTGTCCAAATTATGTCAACATGTTTTTATTATTATCTTTGTTCATAACCCCAACTAATAAAAAAATAATAATAATAATTAAAATAATATTCTATGATAAAAAGATATACAATAAATTACTATATAATATGATGATATAAATTTATATAAATAATTAAGAGAGCTTTGGTTCTTTAAATTCTAGTCTCTTCTTTTCTTTTCCTCCTTATTTCCCTCTTTTCTCTTCTCTTTCTTCCCCTCCTTCCTAATTTCTTCTCTTTCTAATAAAAACTTTGCCAAAACAAGCTGCCCAACAGCTTAATTATTAGCTGTAATGGAACTCTGAAAGTGTCTCCTATATCGCATAGACTAGCAAGTAGATTGGTCACCACACTACAACCATGCCAAGTACCCCTCACAACAACAACAACAACAAGAAGTTACTAAATACAAAGTCCACGCATTGTCAAAGTGCTTTTGAGTAAAAAGCACTTAATTTTATACGTTTATTCCTGTACTTCCAACGCCTGAACAGGAGATAAAAAGTTGCTGAATAATAAAACAAATAAGACTACTATTTCTCACAAGTACACAACTCGGTACTTGGATTTGGCCAATCATCATCAATTTCACTGGCATGGAAACATTATTGAGAAAGCATCCACATTTTATGGTACAGCAACAGAAATTGAATCCTACATTCTATACACTGTACAATCATCATACAGTGAGAATTCAAGCTACCAAATACCCGCAAGATCCAAAAATTTAAACTAGTGGGAGCAAAATTTGCTTCATCTTTTACAGACCACAGAGAAGCTATTTTCAAATGCGGCCTCGCAAAGACAAAATTTTTCCATTACCAGACTGCTAATTTCCTGGTGGAATCTACTTTCGTAGTAGATACATAATAATTGTATCAGTTTGTGGAAAAGAGGCTAGTATTAACACAAAACAACAACAGGGCCAAGGGGGGCTGCGAGAGAAAGCAGATCACTTCTTCAGAAGCTTCTGAGAGAAAATCCTCTTTGAGTAGGGGCTGTTTCTTGCGACTGCTCTATGGACTTCGATTGTTTCAACAAGTAAATTGTACAGAGAACCCTGATGTGGAAATATGGATTAAAATAACAATATAAAAAATTAAGCAGAAAAACAGCAAAACCATGATTTACATTGCTGGTAGATCAAAGCACACTGGTGAGTCTAATATGCATACTAAAGCTTGCATGACCAGATTATTTTCTTCCAACCTTATGGTACTTTGTGTGTGATTGAAAAGCTTATAATCATTTAATGAAATAAGAAAAAGTAGATTTATCCCTAGTCCATTATTGACATTTGATTAGACTTTGGCACCATTACCTACGGTTCCATCTAAGGATTGTGTTAGACCATGATACCACATAAAATGAGGCATGTGGCAGGTTCATTTCAAGATTTCATGCTTCCAAGTAGTCTTCAGACATGACATAAAGAAAGACAACCTTTTTATGGCCAGAGAAAAAAAGAAAAGAAAAGATGTGTGCACAAGTATATATGCGTTTCTGTGACAGCATGAGGGATTCCCAGACCTCTGTTTTAACAATTAACAATGGAGTACTTGCGTGTACGTGTTTGTATGCATATGTGCCTGCACGTTTGAAAATTTTCCTGACCTCAGAATATCGAAGACCTGCTTGAATAACATAGTTTGCATGTGGGTCTTGAAGCAACTGCTCAAAATGAGAAACAGAGAGCAATTCATGGATGATTTGCGACCGGCCATCATTATTAAAAACTTGAAGGCACCTTTCAACCACATGGCTGCTGAACTTCTGCGTGGACAGGTGCACATAGTTTCCTTCAAATTGGGAAATCAAATTTGACGTAGCAGATGGGATCTTTAACTCCAGGATAAACTGCACAACATAATTTCTGCAAAAGAGAAAACAAAAGCTGAACTCAGAAAAAGGTGAGTATAACTCGAAAGCTCACTAATTCCAAACAAAGAGAACAAGCCAACTGTTGCACTCTAGTATTTAAGTACACAAATATCGAAAACAGAATAATAATGCAGATTTCGAAAATCTTTCACAAACGGAGGATTTCACTGTCATGGAACTTTCTCCTCCAAAGAAATGGGCAAAAAGGAACAACTATTCTGTTAAAGCATGAAGACAGTTAATTTTTAAGCATAGAAGAAAGCAATGATGGATTTAGAGGTTCCAGGTATAAAAAGCAATGAAGTGATGAGATTTTAGTTAAGCTGTTTGTAAACTATCACAATTCTAGACAAATGCATCTACCAAGTTGACTCCGGAAAACCCGAAATCCTTATCTTTCCCTCAACTTCAACACTTAGAGGAAAATGAACAAAACTTCTACAAGTAATCAGCATGACCTCTTAAAGACAGAATATTTTTTCCCTGAATACTAGAAGGGCTATGCAAATCTAATAGCTTTTACAAAGGTGAAAATTCTTATTCTTGTTGAACCAGGTGGCAGGGGTAGACTTAATTCTAATGGTCGCCCAAAGTATAATATACAAAATAAAAATTTGCTGTTTGACCACAAAGTATCAGGCCAAAGCTTCCACTAGATACTGAACATTTTTTTACCGGTCACGTCTTTGGCCTTTCCTATTCTCCTGAAAGCTTTTCTACTTTAAAGAACGAAATAGCCATTCATCACATCATTTAAGTCATAAGTTCCCCCACACACGCAACATTTTATCACTTCAATAAGTTATTATATATCCTGGAATGGACTCTTAATTGTGTAAACAATGTATTGAGATTTTGTAATTGTTGTTTTCTTTTTCTTTTTCTTTTTCTTTTTTTTTTCTCTCTCTCTTTTAAACCTCTCTTAGGGAAATTTGAAACTCACTAAAAAGAAAAAAGAAAAGATGCATTCTCTTGAAGGGATTGCAAGTAAAAAAGTTCTAAATAATAGTGACAAGAGGACATTGTTTCATTACCCATATGGATCTTCAGCAAGCAGAAGTCCACTATTTGATATTTCAGCAACCAAGTGTTCTCGATACTGGCCATTTGAATGACTGATACAGCGCTGAAGAACACAACAGCCATGCTGATGTGTTGCAATGTCAACACAGTATTTTGCAGCAGAAACAAAAATAAACTGCCAAAATAGTTATACAAAGATACATGTCAGTTATATAATAGGGAAAAAGAAGGTGGAGAAAATGCACAGAAAGAAATTCAAAGCATAACTTAAATACATTGACAAGAAGCTTATTAGATACTATGATGTTGGAAAGCAAATTCACCAGAAAGTTTTAGGGTTCCAAGACCGATACCACCTTAGATTACATCAACTTTTAACTAGATGATGTCATTTTTTATCAAATTCTGTCTGAGCACAAATCATTAGCTCTTCAATAACTGTTCAAGAAAAGTGTCATTGACTTTTCAATCTATGCAAGCATGTAACGAACAGCAATATAAATTTCCAAAAACCAAGCATACGAGATACAACCATGGAGGCAGCTTTACTGACTAAACTTCATTAATAACTAAAGAAGCTCTTTAGTTTATAACAGAATTTGACACATTTACCTCTTGTTCCAATCAGTTTCAGGCAAACAACAGCCAAATGGCTTTCCCACAATCAAGGGTCATTTCCTTTATCAATGAAGAGTCCCTTACTTCTCAACTACTCTACTGATCTCTCTCAAACATCTATCATCAATGATACACTTCTGGAGCAATGTGGGACAATTTACCAAGAGTCAAGGGCCATATACCCATAAATTCATATTTATGAACTTGTAATATCAGAAAATGTATAATTTTCATTAAAGATTCATTTATTTTCTGAGTTTTCTTTATTTAGAAATCATATCAATATTGCTTACACACTCACAGTTCCACCCCTCTTCCAGAGATTAAATTATCATATGATAGCACGGTAAACATAGGATTCACACCATTGCTATCCAGGTTTAAGTCAATGCCAAAAAGATCAAGGAAACATATTGGTATCTTTAGCTTAAGAAACTTATATAATTGTTAATAACAAGTCTCTAGATGTTAAAGAATCTTCAAAGGTTTACTATATTTGATGGAATAATTCATTTGTAACTATTATCACCGTCTTGAATAAATAATCAATTTTATCCCTATTAATGGCCAAGTATTTTAGTTATCATTACAAGGACCCCAGTGGCATATGAGCTCCCCATTTTGCACATTGCAAGCAAATTATGCTCTTGAAAGGCTTAGGAAACCCATGTTGTGTTTAAGCATTCTTAACGCAGAATCTAAATGGACATTTTACCACCTTGAAAGATATATTCCTCTGGATTCAGGAAAGAAACTCTTTGAAATCTAGTTCCTAATCTAGTAACAAATTCCTCATTGACCAGAAGGTAAATACTTCGTTGCAGAAACAGCTTATAAAGAAGCAATAGATTCTGATCTGGTTTGCAAATTATCCTCACATAATGCAGCACCAGAGAAAAATAAAAGGCTAGCAATATGAACAATTCATATAATTCCGAATCCCTTTGGTGCACCATACTGGTGTTCTATGCCTTCCTCAAAGGGGTCAAGTTGTTGTGACTATGTGAAGGTAATAATCACATGAGATGATGAGAACCAAAACTCATTAATCATGCTAAGTCGGAGGAAATGCTCAAGTATTGATACGAGGCAAGAGAACCTGTTTTTTTTTCTAGCAAGGACAAGCAACTAAATTGTGAATGGCCATCACATTATCAGGATTAATTATATAACAGTTTCTAAGTGATGCATTAGCTTATTTTAAAATGATTGGACGAACGGATGCATTAGCTTATTTTTCATCTGAACTGCATTAATTAAGAGAATTTCATTTTTTTATTAGTTTACACACAGAGAAAGCTAACATCTCTATACCCTTGATCAATTGCATAGAACACATAAGAGAAGGAAAAGAAAAATTCATAAATGTGAGTCCCTTCCTAGTTCAGCAGAGGAACGAAAATGAACTAACAGAATATAAAACGAAATGTTGAAAGCTTTACAATCTCAAAATCCATAAATATTATCACCCAGAAATTTTGTGTTAAATGGATTAGAATACTACTTCATGAATATGAAAGGAAAATAAGTAACTCAATGTCATAGAAGATTGAGAATGTGAATCAACACCTAACCCAGCAGAGAAGACACAAGTGATATGAGACAATGACTGTGAAGATTATATTTATTGTTTCTCCAGTTCTCCAGAGGCTGTGACAATGAGTATTATCCATACAAAGAGAAATACACTAGCAATATTTTTAACCACATATTCATGAAATGAATTTTATGTGAAAGCCTACCTCTTTCTTATTCGAAATGAATATGTTCGAGATATCTTGTTTACGAGAAGATGCTTTCTAAAATATTTATATATTAAAAAAGAAGAAAGCACGCAAGACAAATTCTATATTAAATTAAACAGTTGGCACAAACATTCAATGAGAGTTTCGAAAGGCTTGTGTAAAATAAGAAAATAAAACTGAGACAACCATAAAATGACAAAGGTTAGAGACTTTTACCTATATTTTGTCAACTTAAAATAATACCTTGTTATCTTCATTGCTAAGGCATTGCAAGCATCGCTGCACAACATGATTCCCATTCAGATCCTTGATGAGAGCAAGAAACCCCGGTTCAAGAGCTGATATAACTAGTGAAATCTGCTGCCTAGTCTTGAGAGTCTCAATCAACTTCTGCACCACCCGAGTGCTGGAAGAACACAAAACAATGTAACAGTGGCCCTAACAAAATTATATGAAGTGAAGTGTGCGTTCTTACCCATGAGTGTTCAGAGAAATCTGAACAAGCTGTCCAGGTTCTTCAGTAACCATTAGCAGAATGTGCATTTTCTGTTCCTCAGTACACACGTCCAATAACTTCTGCATAAGATAATTCCCGAATGGATTCATCATAAGCTCAACCACATGATCAATTATCTCATTGAATATTAGCTGCACATCTTGTTTGGTGCCTTCATCAAACACTTTCTGCAAGAATCGGCAGCCATGTTGATCCTTTGCTATAAAGTAGATATTCCCACGAGTTTCTGCCAAGTAGTTACATCTAAATGGCAGAGACTTGGCACTACGAGCATTTGCATAAATTCCTGCCATTTGAGACTGGTTATTAAGCTGTGACCTCCTTTCTGGACGCCTACTCATGCCAATTTCGTTCAAGGCAGCCCTGTTTGAAACCCTCGGAAACTCAACTCCCTTGTTGGTGACGTAATTGAAACCCTCTCCTTGAATTATGAAGCTGCCCTCACCATTAAAAGCATCAAAGTCTGCTCGTGAGAACTTGATGTTCGGAGGTGCTTTAGCCCTGCCATTAAATAAAGGCACGCCATATTGTCTCAGACTTTCAACATTCAAATGAGGCCCTTGTTGAGTCAACCGAGGAGAAATTGGGACATTCAATAAACCACCTGTTTCTTCATTCCAGTTCATTCCATTTCGCTGTGAATAGAGCAAAGCATCGGCCACGGAAATTCTGCCTAATGAAGAACTCAAATTGGAAACCGGACTCCCTCTGTGGTGGTGATAGTTACTAGTTTGCTCATTTGTTCTGTGCCATATAGAACCAATTTGGCCATTGCAACAATTCAATTCCTTGTTAGGAAACAAAGCAGAGGAAAATCGTGAACCTAATGGACTATTTACTTTATAATCCTCCTGTAATCCAGACAATGCCGTACTCATCTCGCCATGAAAACTCTTCATCTTTTCTTCAGGTAGAGACTGAATTCTCACATGATCAGCATACGCTTTCTTCAGATTAGCGGGAGTCCTGTATGCATCAAAGTTGATTTGATCGTTAAAGTGAACCCCATTGGAGTTGAGTGAAAAATCCCTTAAAGTATAATCCTCTTGTTCCCTGGTAATGTACATTTTATTGAGATTTCTGCAAAGACTCAGTTCATCAATCACGCTCTCATTGGCTTTTTTCCCAACCAGTGAATCTGGTAATTTCGAATCCATCCATAATCCGTCTGGGCAATGAGAAGCAGCATAGGGCATATGAGATTTAAGGGAATCCTCCAGTGGGGGAGGAGTTGGTGATCCATTGTCAGAGAAAGAATGACCGGCAGAGAACAAACTGGAAGAAGAACCATCTGATTGTAAAGAGAAACCACTTACGGGCGAAGCACATGCATACTTATAATGCCTCGATTGCTCATCATCATTCCCGCCACGAGTTGTCCTGGTGGCGGCAAATGAAGCAGTGACAGGAGCATCATAAACATGACTGTTAACATCATGTTGATGATGGTGCTGAGAGGTATGATGATGAGGATGATGATGACGATGATGAAGACGATGCAGATTATGCGATGTGGCATGAGGGATCTCATCCAACAACATTTCAAGCTCCTCATCACCCTTCATGTTTCCTCCACCACTCTCCTCAATCACAACTCCCCCAAAATCAAAACAAAAGAAGAAAGGTGTAAAAAAAAAGAAGACACAGAAACAATCAAAGCAATCCCAGAATCAGAAAACCCACATCAGATTGAAAGAAACGAAATATTTCATATCAGATGAAGATTCACAGTTGGGTCTGCACTCAAGAATCGAGATAGATAAATATCGAGAAGAAGAAGAAGAAGAAGAAGAAGAAAAGGGCGGTGTCTTTGGGTGATGGGAGTATTTTCAATTTGCATGGAGTGAAGAAGAACAAAGCAAACAAGTGATTCAGGTTTTGGGTTTTCTTTTTTTGTGTAGTTTGGTGAAGCATGCAAAGATTGAAGGATTGCATACGGTTTTTTTAGTGAGGAACCGTAGGTATTCACACCACGTATACGGTCTCTCACGCCATTAAAGCTGGAGAGGAGAAGACGGTGTATCTTGTGTCCAGAGAGAGAGAGAGAGTATATATGTTGTTTCCACTCTATATAAATCTTATATTAAATAAATTTAAATAGAATTAAAAGCCCAGAGTGAGAGAGAGCAGACACAAACAAATACACCGGTATTATATAGTAAATCTTTTAAAAGAAAATCAAAAATAAAATAAAAGAATTATTTAAGTTGCCACTCCTTTTCGCATGCGTGTACCGCACGCTCCCAGTTAGTGTGGGGACCACCCCGAAATTCACTGCCGATTTCAGCTTCGTGGCAATTAGCACTTTGTTAAATATTATTTTAATTTTTCAAAACAATTTTGACACAATTTATTTCTTCTTTAAATATACGTTACACGGTCAATAAAATAAAAATTAAAAATACATTATTTAAAACATAATAAATTTATGTAAATGAAATAATAATTAATTTATTTTTGGAATTTAGTAAAGGAGTATTTAAGGATTTTGTTTGATTTGTTTCGGTTATTCGTATCGACGCTCCCAACAAACTTTCTGGAGGTTTTCGCAGGTGTGCGCGGTCCGCTGGAATTACCAGATTACCCCCTCTCTCTCTCTCTCTCTCTCTCTCTCTCTCTCTCTCTCTCTCTCTCGACCTGGCTTGTAACAGTCCCAAGAATACTCCATTTGGCTTTTGTAAAGCAATGTATCCACATGTTACACGACCCATCGGGCAGTCTCTAACCCGTTTTGGTAATTTTCTATTTTTATTTATTTTTTAATTCATAATGAAAATAATTATTAATTTAATTCCATCTAGTATTTTAATTAATTACTTCTAATTTTTTATTTATAATCAAAATTTTAAGTATTTCAATTACATTTTTATCTGTAGTCAAAATATTCATATTTTTACTTAAAATTTACGAGTTTAAAATTTATTAAGAATATAAAGTCGATCATTTTTATCTATATTACAAGTAAATTATTGTCAACTCAAATAATATTTGATTTAACAAAATTTACGAATTAATTCATTAATGTATCGATTGGATTATAGTCATTAATTTAATTTTTCTCAAATGAACCATGGCATATCCTAAACAAAAAAAGAACATTCAATTATAACTAAATTTTATTAGTTCATATAAATATAATGTGTTAAAAAAATATGTTTTTGTCAACAAAAAATCTCTTTCCATTCAATGCATGAATATGTTGATAACTTAAAAAATAATAAGTTATTTGTACTCGCACTTTAGTTATTTAATAATTTATTATATATATTGTAATATTTTTTATAAGCATCACTGATTTAATAATAGTTTAAATTTATACTATTAATAATCAAAAGTTTAAACTCAAATTAATAATAGTTTGTATTTTTTTAATATAAGATTAATATATCAAATCTCCATCATTAAAATAATTGATATTTTCATCGAAATCATATATTATAAAATTTAGAATTATAATCAGAATACTCTATAGTATCCAATATTACATCAAATTAGAATTACTAAGTTAACACGTGATTTAATATCACTTGTAATGCACCAGATCTTCAACTCGTGCACAATCTTTCAGACCTAAATTATTGGCTCTTATAAAGTTTACATCAAATTATTAATAATGTATAATTTCAATTTTAATATAAAACTCAATAATTATATATAATTATCACGCAAGATTAAGGAATCATAATTTTAGCATAGTGAATATTAATAATAATTATATATAAAATTTTAGTTATATAATAATTCATTACATATTATTTTCTCATTATGTATAATCTAAATTTTAGTTTAATTTTATTTTAAAAATTTTCAAAATAAACTGAAACCAAGTTTAAATTTGCGATTCACTTCTCAGTTCATATCGAAATTAATTAAAATATATATATATATTTTTTGTTTTCACTTTCCAACATTTTCAAAGTTAATTAAATGTGTAAAAACTATAAGAACTTAAATTAATTAAATATATACTTGACAAGATATTTGCATATTGTTATTTATAAACATATTTAGTTAACAAACTTTTTAATTAAAAAAAAATTAGTTTAAATTTTTAATTCATTATAACTATTTTAACTAGAAAAACCAAACCATCACGAAATATTTTTTGTCTTGTAGTATATCTTTCCATGTATATGTACATATATAATGACTCTAAAATGCATATGATCTTCAATTATTGTATTTACAGGCCTGATATTAGTAATAACATCTCAAAACCTAAAACCAATTAATATCGTTTAAATCCATAGAAAGAAATTATATTACTTTTAGAAAAAGTTTGTATATATATATATATATATATAATGAAGGTTCAGAGCGCAAGACTTGCAAGCAAATCCGTGGGCCAAAAATATCACGATCACACGTATTAATCATGGTATGGTAGCTTCCTTTTTTTAGAGATTTTTAGGTTGGTTTTTTGGAATTAAATTTATAAATAATGTTAAATTAATTTGTGAAATTATATTTAATTTAGTTTAAGTAACATGTAGGAGTTTATATCAAATCAGAATAAAATATTTTAATTAGTGCTGTTTGTAATTGTTCGTTTATTATTTTAAATATCTTACTTGAATTTCTAATTTTATTAATATAAAAGAATATTATAATTATTAGATTCTTAAAAAGGAAATTTAAGAAGGTTAAAAAAAAATCAATTTTGTACGTTAATAAATTTATTACCATCCACTTAAGATAACAATATATATATATATAATAACATAAGTTATAAATTCGTGTAACAATTATTTATATATATATATATGTTTCTTTTGTTCTTGCTTATTTTGCATTTTATTTAAATATGTAAATATTTATATCAAAGATTTATCTAAATTATATTAATTTTTATGAAATATAGATATATATTTATCAATTATTTATTTATTAGATTGCGGGTACTTTCTATAGTTTGAATTCAAGTCTATACTTTTATGTTATTGTTATAAAATTTTTATTTTTTATTAATGTTAATTCAAATCTATACTTTTATGTTCTTATTATAAAATTTTTATTTTTTATTAATATATCTATGTCATATAATTAATAAAATATATATTTAAAAAAAAAAAATTAACATAAATTTTATATTATTTTAAATATATATTATTTAATTTTTTTCGCTGACTAATATTTAATCAAAAAAAAATATATATATATATCTTCTATACTAAAGTCAAAAGAATCATAAAAACATATCTTGTACGTAGCTTACAAGTTGATAATTACTTACCAGCAAACTAATTCTTTTGATTTGCCTTACCTTTTTTTTTTTTTAAATGCTAAAAGTAATTATGATAAAAATATTACATTATACCTCTGTTTTAGCAGTTAATTAAGATGATTAAAACATTTAAAGTGGTTAAAAAATAGTTTTATGCTTTCGTTTTGATTGTGAAATAAATTAATTTAATAAATGCTATTCCATCGGGTTCTCCTGGTCGTGGGCAACATTATTACTATTGTAATTATTTATAACAATTTTTTATATTAAATAAAGGAATTATGGGGGGAAAATAAACAAATAAATGTGCATATTTATTTTATTTATATTAATAATTCATATACTTGAAGTTTCTGTAACATAAAGAAATTTTCGAGGAAATTGAAGATATACACACATACACACACATATATATATTTGCATAACTAAATTAGAAAGAAAGTATTTTTTTATTTGTAATTATATATAGCACATTAATGTATAATTACAATAGTATTATTAAACATTTGATTGTTTTGTCATTTATTTGGGAGGAATTTCTCATTAACTTAAAATAGGCTGAGCAACAAAAAAAAAAAAATCTTCTTCAAAAGTCTTTTATGGTTTCCTTAGAGAGCAAGCAGCTTTTTTTTTAAAAAAAAAAAACAATTATTAGTTAAGCATATTAATAATTAATTTCTCCATTAACACTCACCACCGACCAATAATTGATTTCCACGTGTCCATTTTTGTTAATCCGTGAGCTGATTTCCACGTGTCCAACCTACCTAAACGTTCACATGGAGTCGAAAATGATTAATGTTTTAGTTAAATTATTAGTCAAATAACTTTTTTAGACCAATGTTATATACTTCAATCTTTATTTATAAATAATAAAATGTAAATATAAATTAAGAAAGTATATAAAAGTTAAAATGTTTATGCTCCAACTATAAAATTTTAAGAAATTATATATATGTATATGTTTTTATAGGAGGAGTCTGAGCAAGTGAATCTTACCTTAATACCCAAGTCGATTTCATCGTAAAAACAAAACGAAGAGGTTTGTTTGACCATTAAGAATAAATAATTTATCATATGTATCTTTATTTTTATTGTATTATATTTTATCGTATCATATTTTGATATTTAAAAATTACTATCAACCCTTCTATGTAGATCCGGATTAATCCTTAATTATATAGTTTTGGGGCTATTTTTTTTAACCCATGCCAAATCTGCTAAAAAATGGCATCTCCCACATGTTTAAAATTATCAACCCTACTAATTACCATATGGAATTAATTTGTAACGCGATGATAATTAATTTAGGTAATCTACCAAAACAAATTAATGTCAAATTTAATTAATGATAATTAAATCCTCATTAATTTTGGTAATAGAAATTATAAAACTATGAATAGTGTTTTTTTTCCCTAAAAAAGTATACAAATAACTTTATGAGACTGACCCAAATTAGTACATTAATTCAATTTTTTTAAAGAAGAAATTCTTGACGAAACAAAACCGTAGGATCCCAACAAAGGCCCAAAGAAGCCCCTCGAGAGCCCAATATAACTTCGCAGCATTCTCAAAGCTAGAGGTTGACGGAGATGGAGAAGGGCAAAGGAAGCGAGGAGAGATGGAGCGGAGCCTTAGCGAATCTGACGGAGATGGCTGCCAATTTGGACTCCTTGCAGAAGCTACTCCTCAAGAAAGCTGTCTTCGTTGACGAAGAGACCTTCGCTAAAGCCTCTCTTAGCGCCGAACAAGTCCGAACCATCAAGGTCCGTCTTCTTTTAGGCTGTACATTCGTCTGCCGCTCTACCTTGTCTTACTTAAACGATTTGATCTTGCCTAATTTGTTTCTAATTTTAGGCTGTGCTTCTTTACTTGTTATTGGTTTTGTTGCTAATTTGCTGAACCTGCTACTTGAATTCCGATTCCTAATGTCTTCGTTCATTTAAATTCTTATAGATGTGCTTGATTTCTACTTGTCTGTTCTATAAATGATTACGCAGATTGAGCTATTTGGGTCGTGCATTTATCTCTTTTCACTTTTGGATTTTATAATTAATGTTCTTTATTTTGTAAACAATTTTTTTTTTTTTGGCCGGAAGCGGTGTTGATGCATTTCCCTCTAATTTGTTCATTGTATTGCATAGTTAGTTAATTATAGTCAATTAACTAGTATCACCTTTTCTTTAGTCCGTAACGATCTTCTAATTTCTGGTGAAATGATCCTTTTCCCTTTTTGTTGTAAATACGATACCAGTCTTATAAAGAAAACGTATCTGAAGATTGCGTTATCACAAAATTGATGGGTCTGCTGTTAGTTAAACATCCAATTTAAAAGTTTTGGGAGATAAGTGCAGACAGTGAAAATTTGAAGGATGTTTAGTACAATTTACCCAAAATGATTATGGAGAGAGTTGATAGACTTAACGAGAATGCTAGCAGGACTATGCAAGTGCTAGTGTGTGCATTTATACACTATTACTTGCATATTCTACATTCAGAATCCATTCATCATATCGAGATATATTTATTATCTCAATACAAAATTTGGCAGCACCTTTTTGCTCATATTGTTACTTGCTTGTAGTTCATATGTAGATGCTACTGAAGTACTTGGATGGTGACATTTCAGGATATTTTTGTGCCTAGGTTCTTGAACAAAGGGTTGAGACTCTGGAGAGGGAACTAGATGCTGCTATAACAGCAGCTGCTCGTGCACGTTCAGAAAAACGACAGGCTGAGGCAGGACAAAAGACTGCTGAATTACGTGCTCAAGAAGTAACGAGAGAGCTAGAGAACACGACAAGTATGTGAAATTCAAGCCTAACCTTTGGAATCTAATATCTGACATGGACGCCTAACTTTAGCTTTTAAATATTTAAGCATTATAGATTTTCCAAAAGTTAGAAACATACTAATTTTTACTGCAGCATCAGTAAAATGATTGATGGAAATTTTTCTCAAAAAAAAAGAAAAAAAAGAAAGATTCATGGAAGTTTTGATG